ACTAGGGATCGAGCCCTGGGATCTACCTCAGCTACCACGAATTGGTGAATACCGTTTCAATAGGAAAGGAGAGGCCAAGGGAGGGAGAGATAAGGAAATGAAGTGATGAGAACTGCAGCAAATGAAATGGAGCACAAAAAGGACACGAAGGCGAGGAAAGGAAAGAAAACTGGCCAAAAACAAAAAAAGGGACAACGTAAAGGAATGCCAGACACTTGTGAGGAACACATGAAAACAAACGACACTCTAGGATACCTCTTTGCCCAGGCCAGGCACACCCTCGCCAGACGGGCAGGACGAGATCCATCATGTCACAGCAGGGGCAAGAATTCAAAACAAAGAAAAAAGCTCAAAATTGGACCTTATCTTCCAATTTGGTGTAGGCACACTGAGCCCAGAGGGTGTTGGGCATAAACAGGCTTTAAACTTTAAAGGGGTTCAAGGGAATAGAACTTCACGCTCATTTTCGATTTCAGTTTCACTAAATTTGTATCTAAATTATCTCGAAATTGGTAACATGACAGGAACCCAAAAGTTGTGTGTGCAAATGTACTGTGACTTTACAGAGCTTTTCTTCCCAGATTTTTTTAAATTGCTTTATGTAGGTTATGTTTTCATTTGATTTTATATTTCTTGCTGGGACTGCATGGCAACCTCTCTGATCATCACCTGGATCGACTCTTACGAGAGCCTATGAAGACCTCTAGCGAGCCTCTGGAGGCTCACCGCAGAGTTGGGAGCAAATAAAGAAACCCGAGAAAAGCCGGCCAGTGGGAGCCTTTAGCCCGAGTGGGGCATTGCCCAGGTGGGTATGCGGGCAGCCAAAGCCAGTGCATGACATCCAGCTGGTAGGACATAACAATGGCTGTTGAAGTGGAAAATAGACTCCTGCTGGAGCAGCATCATGCATGGTGTTGACTATGCAGAGAGAGAGAGAGAGAGAGAGAGAGAGAGAGAGAGAGAGAGAGAGAGAGAGAGAGAGAGAGAGAGAGAGAGAGAGAGAGAGAGTGGACGACGATGATGACAACGAGACAATGGTGATGACGGGTTGTGTGATGTGTTTGACAGTAATTGTTGCACCTCGAACATGGATGCAACAATTCCGCGGCATTTGACAAAGATCTCACACCCGAATCTGAGCCTCCGATCTTGTGACATCGACGGCTGAGATTAGAGCCCCCTGCAATTCTTAAACAAATAAAAAGGGAGGCCTACTCTGCACCCCCCAAAACATTCTTTAGGTACCCGAACTTTGGACCGAGCCGAAACCCCCCCAGTTTCAGCCCTACCAGCAGCATTGCCCGGGCGGGGTTGCAAGGTTGTCCCAGAGCCGTGCTTCTAGAAACAAATTTAAAATTTCCTTCAACAGATCCTACAATCATGAAAGTCTGCAGGTGGCTGCACTCGGTCTGTTGGATATGATAACGTGAAGCGCGACCACCTCCAGAAACACCTCCAGAAAATATAGATTGCAAACTAGTCAAAGTGCAAAGCTTTAGCGAAAAAAAAAAAAAAAAAAAAAAAAAAAAGCCTTGAAGTTACAGAAACACAACAAGAGCTGTTTTTTTTAGTCCAATAATAATACCTGGCTGTAGCCCACAGGATGGTTATTTATCAGACAAGTGAACGAAGCTGATGAAAGCACCTGTTATGGAAACGGCCAGAAGAGCAAGTAAGTACTCTGAAGTTTGAACTATTATCCACTGGGATTTGGAATCTAAAGGTTTATTTTATTTTATTGTGAGACAGACAGAGAGGACAGCATCACTTAGGAGAAGAATCACAACATCATAGATAGACATGCATACCTTTTTCGATGAGAAGGGCCAATTCCTGTAAATGTACAATAAAGCTTTTTCCTCTTCAAATGCTCTCTTCAAACAAAGAAACATTTCGTTTTCATTCGGCTCAATTAGGCCCCAAGTATACGGACGCTGGAAAAATGGGGACCAATAGAAGATCTAACAACGGATGTCTTCAAAAAGGAAAGGAAATACGGCTGTTCTTTCTTTTTCAAAGCAAAATTCAATCCTCAAAATCAGAACGTAAAGAAAGTCTTTGAAACTCCTTCCTGGTCAGAAAAGCACGCTACATCCCGACTACGCCGTGGCTCCACTGCAGATGCGGGCAGGACCCTTTCGCTTCTTCCTCGCGGTAGGTTCGGGATCAACCTCTTTCTTCACAGGTGCCTCCCTCTCAGACAGAATAAGATCAATGTGGCATGGTGATGAATGTAGGGATTGATATGGCCGTGAGCACGATACATCCTCCTCCTCTGCTTTTGCGCCTTGTTGACCTGTGCGAGTTCAACAGTATGTTGACATTGAGGCCCTTGACTTCAGTGTTACTCTCCGCGTTCTTCAGAAGTCCCAGCAGGAAATTGGCAGACTTTGCGGGCCATCTAGCCTGCCCATTGGTCTGACCCTTGTTGTTTGCCTGAGCGGTACGGCCATTTTGGCCAACACTACCGCAAAACCGCCTAAATGGAACTGCTTGCTTGTGGGGGATGACATCCTCGAGGTATCTCTTCGCCTTGTTTAACTACATCATTTTGATCGCCTGTGCCGTCTCATGGGTGTTCTTGAAGTGCACCCGGCGATCGGAGCCCAAGCCTTGCATGCGTTCATGGGGTTATCCGACTCTCTTGTGCGTACTTAACCATGGCTGCTGGCTTCGATATCCACCAATGACCGCCACTCTTGCACAATTCCCTCGCTCACTCAGGTGTTTTCCAAGACATGCTGATGGGATGCGCACACACCATTGGTGCCCAGATTTGGCACACAGAATTAATTGCTACACTACTCATGAACAACAGATTTGACATATTAGATCATCCTGCGGTAATTACATCATTTATAATGTCCATTTGCTTATTCTTGACAGTAATGGCTATTTACTTAGCAACTTGGGTAGTACCATCTGATTTTCAACAAGGTGAAAATTATCGTATCATCTATGTACATGTGCCTGCAGCTTGAATGAGTTTACTTATTTATATTGGAATGGCTATTAGTAGTGTGTTGTTTCTTGTTACTAGACATCCCATTTTTCACTTATTTTAATATTTTCAAAGATTAGTGCCAAAATAGGCCCTTTGTTCACCTTCTTCACTCTAGTTACTGGAAGTTTCTGTGGAAAACCTACGTGGGGAACCTTTCAGGTTTGGGATGCTCAAAACACTTCCGTATTAATACTGCTCGTAACTGCTGTGAAACAGTTTTCACCTTTGGCAGTAGCCGATGCAGATCCCAGGGGTCGATCCCTTGACCTCAGCTTACCTGTGTACAGTATCTGCAAAGTTCCCTGGAGTTGAAC